TTTAGTAGTCATCTGTTATGTATAGATCAAGTGACTTATCAGCTTACTTAGAAACTGCTACTGCCTTGACAGTCTGCTTCCCAGCCGGCAGTGTAAACGGACCAATGTACTGCATTGTACATCTCTCCACTCCAACCTTGGGAAATGGATCTGGTTTTGTTCCATTTATTGTGTAATATATTGTAACATCTTGCTTACCATCTATGATTAAATAAAATGTAAGTGTTCAAATATCCTTTTTTAAGGATTGCAAAGAAAAATGTTGATAGCAGATAAAACACAGATTTTCTTCAAATTTAAAAAAAAAAAAAATTTGAATGAAGTTAGCTGTTAACCATTTCTTCCTTAAATATTCTTCTACTACTTCCACAAAAAAACTGCATGTACAAGTCATGCAAAAAGCACATTCGACTATATTTCTGCAAGTAAAAAATGAGTGAAATTTTTTTTATTGTAGAAATTTCTGGTCCATAGGTCTAATAGGCTCTCCAAAGATAGTGTTACATTTAACATCAACTATGCATGTAGGTTTTGGAGGAACCTTGAAAAAAAGAGTTATTTTTCAAAGTATATATTCCACTTTGCTTTAATTTTAGCAACTGAAAATTGCATTTATCCCCTGTATGCAGATAGTTTGAGATGTATCTGTTGTTTTTACTATTAAACAGATTTACTAAAAATCATCATTAAGCAATAAACCAACATGATGCACAAATAACTAGTGCTAATTGTAACGGGGACCGTTACAGATGTTCCCCAAACGCTCCCCAACTTCCTTTTGGTGCCACATTCCCTGTAAGCTTCATTAAATAAGACAAACTCTATAATATGCATTTGAGGCTTTAACAACATTTACCCAGAAAGTACCAAGTTCATTCAAACTTTAGAATTCCACGCGTGCGCATGTGAATGCATGTGCGTAATGACCAATCATCTTGTCTATACAATCTATATATTTTAATATACTTAATATTAAAGTAATTAATCCAAAAGTAATAAGAAAAAAACGCTCATTAAACTGTATTTTTGATTTCACTCATTTCACGTGGAAGCACGTGCATACATGAGCATGATGACAGTACCTTCTTGTAGAGGTCCATTACATCTAACTATGTTCTAAATCCCACCCCGTTTGGTTGAAAACCAAGGGAGTTATAGCTGTTTAAAGTTTCAGCCAATCAGATTGCAGTGCACGTACACGCACGTGTATGCATGTGCATGATTACCATACCACCTTGTAGAAGTCCATTATATCTATCTATGTTCCAAATCCCATCCTGTTTGGTTGAAAACCAAGGGAGTTATAGCTATTTAAAGCATAAGCCATTCAGATTGCAGCGCATGTGCATGCACGCGTTTTCATGATAATTGCTATATATCTTATTGTAGGATATCCTAATACATGCCCATGTTTGAAATTTCAAAGGATTTCGTCAACAAACAAGAAAGATATTGATACTTTAGTTTCAGTCAATCAGAGCATAGCGCACGTGCATGCGCGTGAGATCTTGCTTTTTTGACCATGTCATCTTGTCTATGCTTCTAATATATACTTATAATATGAGTTTCAAAGCATTTCATCAATAATTTAAATAGTTACATCTGTATCAATTATGTTGGACATTTCTCATGTTGCACGTGCGAGCTCTTGCAAGCACACGTGCATGCACATGCTTTCATGATAATTCTTATATTACAGGCTGTAGATCTTCCTAATGTATGACTATGTTCATTCAAATGATTTTATCAACAGACAAAAAAGATATTGAGACTTTAGTTTCAGCCAATCAGAGCAGAGCGCACGTGCATGCGCGTGCGATCTTGCTATTTTGACCATGTCATCTTGTGCATAATACTAATATATCCTTACATTATGAGTTTCAAAACATTTTGTCAAAAAATAGAAAAGTTACGGTTTTATCCATTATATATTGGTAATTTCAAGTTTTGCACGTGCGCGCTCTTGCAAGCACGTGCGCGCAAAATGACCTTGATTCCGCAAATCTACATAACATGTCTACTGACCCTAAAAACATTTCACCTAAATCGGATGTGTAGTTTACAAGATCATTCGCGGACAAAATTTTCCCGAGAAGAAAAATAATAATAATAATAAGAAACAGAGTAAAAACAATATGTTCCCCAACTTCGTTTGGGGAACATAATTACAGTATATTTCATGTAAATGACGAGTAAACAACATTCTCTTGAAATTCTTGATTTTTTATTTTTCCTTTCTCACTCATTGGTTCTGAAGATTTTTAAAGTGACGTCAAATTTATAATGAATTTTAGCCAGCTTAAACAATGATTTTGGAAAATGTATTTGTTTACGTATTAAAAGAATATATTATTAAGAAAACAGTGACATCATGAGAAATATTTTGACATGACAGCTTTAATACAATACTGTATATGGAAAAATATAATTAAACAATGCCTTTCCCTTTTTTTTTCAACGGGTACTACTGTACCTCTCTGGTCATTTATTCCAATTTTTTAGACCAGCAAGCTACAGACCTGCAGTAAGAATGACCTTTTCTTAGTGATTTTCATACGAACAGAGACATACCTATTGAAAGTTCAATTTTGGTGTTACTGTCAATGGAGAGTTTGGACCGCCCAGGTAAAGGTGTCCTAATAGGAATAATAGAAGGTACTGGGATTGATCCAGCTGTCATTCTGTCACTGAAATTACCAAAATAAAACTAGTCGTATTTTGAGTAAAAAAGCATACATTTTAAAAAAACACATCGAAATTGATTCATACGCTCTTGTTATGCTCTTTTATACACCCAAAGAGCTCATCATATTGTAAAAAGTTCAGCAATTATGCAATATCTTAAAATATATGATTATGGCCTGTATATGTTTATCTATACTTTTGTCTTTCTATACATAGTCAAAAGCCTATATTAATGCAATGATGATACATACATCCGTGACTAGTTTCTCTTTTAAAAAAATCTAGCATTCATTAAAAACGTTTATTAGCTTCTTCATTACCTTCAATGTGTCATATGTCTTCAATTACAATATTAATTGAAATCTATTAAAAAGAACCTGTACAAAATTTTAACGATAACTTGTCCAGACACCTGCCATGTTTTGTCAATAGCAACACGCGCCTTAGATACTATGTTAAACCAAATCTGATTGGCTGCTCGAAAACTTAGAAGTCAAGCTGATCTCGGAATTTAATTTCCGATAAAAAAAAAAAAAGGCCTGGATGTGTATTTTTCATACGCTTGCTTTAAAAGGCAAATGGCCATCATAAGTGAGTCATCTTTCAAACAAAGAAGATGGAGGAACAAGGCGTGCAGAATGCCTATAGCTTCAGAAATATAAGAAATCATATTCAGTATGTGAATTTAGTATTTTAATTAAGTTCTCATTATTGAAATTTATAAAATTACGAGAAACAATCCTTTTCTGAGAGAAAAAAAATCCTCGGAAAAAAATTATTCTTTTAATAAAATATAAGATCAAGATGGTATTCGAACTCTAAGCAATAAAAATCCGAAGTATCATCTTGCTTTGAGACTAACTCTCTAACCACTACACTACATGGCACTAGTCTGGACCAGACATAGCACATGAAAAATTAGGGCATTTAAATCATTTTTGTGATGTGACCCTTGACTTAATGGACTTGAAGTATTTCTCGGAAAGATGCGAATTTTTGGTCATAAAAGTGTAAATTTAAGGTATAGTGGGCTTGATGGATCTTTGCTCCATGTTTTTGTAAACCAGAAAATGTATATTTTATTGCAAACTTTTAGGATTATCTTTAAAAAAAAATGGAGCGAAGATCCACTCATATTGTGAGATTTTTGTAAATTGTAGAGATTTTACGTAAGTGCATGTACTTTAATGTTACATGAAATATCAAAGAAAATTAGGATACAGTTGGGATTTAATTTTTCACATCATGTTTGTCGCACTATAGGCACTTCATCCGTTTATCCTCCCATCTTCTTTCACGAGAGACATACCTTTAGAAATAATGAAAAGTTACATGTAGTCCTTTCTGACATATATATAGTTCTTTACATATAAAATCTGCAAAATGTCAGGCAGACTGCCACTCTTGGTCATACACTCATTTTAATTGAAAAATTAATACTAAATCATCCTCGGCAGTCGCAATGCAAGGAGTCCTGGCTCAACAAGTTGCCGTTGAACCAAAGGACTAAAGGACCCTAGTCCGAAATATCTGCAAGAATATTAGGACCCCTGGTATTGCGGGGAATCTTTACCCAGCTGCGTCATAACCATCACATTTACGAATTCAAACAATTTTTGAAAAAAAATTGTATAATTTAATAAAAAAAAACTTGGGGAAATCAGGCCGCCTAAACCAAAGAGGCTTGAACTTCTTTCAGTACATTTTTTTTTTCAAACACTATACTACTTACCCTTCTTCGACTACACTGCAACGTGCCTGTTGAAAGGGGGGGCTATGCCTTTCTTATCTACCAATGCCTATTTTATGTCCATTTTTGCAAAAAAAAGTTTGGGAGGGGGGCTAAGCCCCATCCTAGCCCCCCCCCCATTCCGACGCCAATGGAACTTGAATACTAGTCTGAACTGTTCCCGATGAAGGACGACGGAAACTATTTCTGATAAAATTAGTAGTGTGTGAGATTATAGACTCAGCAAAACAAATTGGTTTGCTTTCTATCTTTATATGTACGCGTTGTTTTCAAACGTAGATTTACTGTGGAAAATGTTAATCGAAAAGAAAAGCCAACACTCCCCCCTTTTCCACTTTTTTGCAGTACCTATAGTCAAATACTTGTAAGGGTAAATGTAGTAGCGAATAAAATAAAAAGGGCACTGAAAGAAGTTCGAAATATAACTAAATTAACTATGACGCCAGATAACCAAATAATAATAAGAGTGTCCCAATTTTCCTATCCAATCATGTACAACTATATGTCGTCACAAGCGTCAAGTATCATTCATGAACCCGGTTACGTCACAACCCATCTCTGAATTATAGATAACCTTTACCATTCTTCCTGGAACAATTACTTACAATGAAAGTAATCTATTAGCGTGCATGTAGGCGAGAGCCAAAATGACACAAAATCCATAGACTTGCTGGAATGGGAGGCTTGTATTGATTTAATGACCAGAAGTGGAAGCTAAACTTGACAAAAATAATCTACAATGTAGCATCTGTCAGGCATGATTACTTACTTTTCCTTGGATACAAAGTGAGGAACTGCTTAAAAAACGAGATGGAATTCCCAGTATATTGTGTTTTAATATAAAGAGTTTTCTCCTATGTTCTCCATATTCCCAGCAATTTTGAGTTTTGCTAACTGAAACTATACCATAGAAATGAGAAAATATTTTCGAGACAAGCGTCTCTTCGTGCATGACCAATGCCACATAAGGCATACCGGTGATTATCGAATTCTATTCTTCGTTTCTTTTTTTAAATTAGTTGCTTCATCCGTTTTCTTCTACTGGAGTTTCAAATTTTTTTTTATTCAATTAAAAAAATCTTTTTGAACTTTTTAAGTACTAAATGTAATTATGGCTTTGTGGTCATTACATATCCAGCGTTTTTCTCTAATAGAAATGATTTTAACACTGAACAACATGAATTCGGCTAGATTACTCTTTCTAGATTCAATTACTAGTATATTAATTATAAATCCTTGAAAAATTTGCATCCGATGTTAACAGTTCCCGAGGAATCGGCGACCAGCATCTATAAACCCTTCTAAAAAATCAGTTTTATTTTTCATAATGATTAAACACAACACTTGTATTTTAATTTATTGACACAAATACTACTGACCAGAAGAGTGCAACAAGATACTTTTGTGAAACACTGATGCCCATCTATGCCAGCTTTTGGCGAATGTTACAGTTTCTCGATTGCAAGTGAAACTCCAAGGTCACGGCCAAGAGATAAAAAGATGTTGTTACTCAATGACAGGATTTGTCTCAATAAGTATACATGTGAAATAGGACAGTCCAAGCACAAATCATTTAAAATGTCTGGCCAAGGTCAAAGTTTTTATTTAAATGTGGGTCAAACTCCACAGTTTAGGTCAAAGGGTCAAACTAAAGGTACCCAAGGAATCATAAAAAATGTACATGTGGAATAAAAAGGCCTAGCTCCAACATCTCAAAAGTTACGACCAAGGTTAAAGTTTTCCAAAAGTAGGTCAAACTCCTAGGTGAAAAAGGTTGAAATTTAAGGAAAAGTCTTGTCACAAGGATTATAACCTATGAAACATGAATAAGTACTTACTTTTCAAACGTTATGACCAAGTTTAAAGATTTTTAAAAGCTGGTCAAACTCTAGCTGCAGAACTGTAGATTTCCGAAAAAATATATTGACAGACCGGAGAGCTACAGTGCCACCCAATGTAAAAACTGTAAATTTATTGCACACAAAAAAGTGCGCTTAGTTCTGGATTAATTCTTCCAAATTTTTACCTCAATCGTAAAAAAAATTTCTTTCTCCTCTGTGAAGTACTCTCGTAGTCGACATCTGCACTATGCGTGTTAGGCCGATTATCTTGCAAACCAAAGTGACAGTACTAGTATAAATAGACGAATTTTTCGATGATCTTAATTTCAGGGCCAGGACGGCTATTGTCAACAATTATAAGGGATGTTTTTTTCGAGGAATAAGTGAAATAATAATTATGTTAAGAACACATAGTTTATAATATTTTCAGTTGACCGTTTAAAAACATGGAGAAATAAATCGAGAAACAGCGCACTTTTTTGTGCGCAATAAATATAGTTTTTTCAGTGTGTAGCACTGTAGCTCTCCAGTCTGTCAATATATTTTTTCGGAGAGCTACAGTTTTGCAGATCGTCAAACTCAAAGGTCAAGATTAAAATGTCAAAAATATTTAAATCTATGGAAATGCTTCGTCAAAATGGAAATACATACGTATACATATTGAATATGGAATCCCTTGCTACACTATTCAAAAGTTATGACCAAGGTTAAACCTTAGTTAAATTTTGCAAAAGTGGGTAAAACTCCAAGGACAAGAGGTCAAATATATTGGGACAAAAACACATCTCTAACCAATCAAAATTTATGGACAAGGTTAAAAATTTTGCGGACAAACAGACATAAGGAAAGGACAAAAACTATATATACCCCCGAGTCTTCGATTACAGGGGTATAAAATATTATTTGAAACACTAGAGTGTACAAAAAGTAAAAAAAAAAATCTGTGTTGCATGTGAATCAATCCCTCCTCCTTGTTAAGTAGAACGATTGTCGTGTTGTAAATTTAGCTTTCTTTCTGCCACCCAGTAAATTCAAAACTTACGATCGGTCACAACCATAAATTGTGCGTGAACCCCTCTCCATCTCTGTATTCGTACCAACATTGGTATATAAACCAACTTGAATTCGAATCAACAAATTTTTCCAGTTGATTAAACGATGACCCATTTAATGTCAGTCTTGTATTTAAATTACTGTTTACAAATGTCATACATTGTACATGTATATATATCACAGGATATTGGCTCTCGAGAAACGGTGTAATAGAACAGCAAGAAACATTTCATCAAAAGACACCGATATTACGCATCGGACTAGAAAAGTAACTGAAAGACTCTTCGGATTCAAGTGATAAAATAACTTGGTACAAAATAAAAAGAGTTTTTGTCGTGATTAAAAATACATGCATCAAAATTAACAATATCACCAAACTAAAGTTTTCTGTTGAGTCTAAATCTACGTGCATACAGGAAGGTGAGTAGTGACAAGGTCATCAGCAAGACGCCGTAAACAAGGAGTTCTGAGATCACGGGGTCAGTGTGGTCGGAGTGTCCGGACTCCATGTCCACGATAACAGCCCGGATCTGGGTCGCCTGGGTAACGGTACTTAGAATGTGGAAAATCTGGTGTCCTTGACCCACGATGTCACATTTACCCGGAAACAACTTTTCAGGAAAATGGCTGCCAAAGAAGAAGGCTTGTAAACAAAAAAGGAATATGCAAATACTGATATGATGCAGTGACGATATTGAACAGGATTTCTGCATAAAACATGTCATGTATCTATCAAATAACGGAGCAATCAACAAAACG